AATAAGGAGTAATTGGTTTGTATCGGTTTGTATGAAATTTTTATTGGTTTTATTGGGTATAGATATAATGTATTGTTGTTGTTGCTATTTTGTGCTATTGTGTTTTATTATTGTTGTATGTTACGGGCATCGAATTGTGCCTTGGATATGTAAGCCGCCCTGAGTCCCCTTCGGGGTGAGAAGGGCGGGGTAAAAGTAAACCAAATAAATAAATAAATAAATAAATAAATTATTACTGTCCTTAAATACCAAATGCCAAATAGGAAGATACAATTCTGATTTTATTAAAAGGTACATAAGATTATGAAAGTCAGTGCCATATTGCACTGGGAGTCCCTAATGAAGTATGAAACTTGAAGGGCCACAAAGAAGTCACATGATGCCCCAAACTGGGTCACCTTCCCCATTCATTCTCTAGCCCCATTCTGCCCAAACAGTCCATAATGACATCACTATAGACAAAATCTATGCTCCTCTGCAGCAAATTCTGCATGCAAGAAAGCCAAATTCTGCAATTTACATAAATGATGAAAAGGAAGCCAATATAATCACACCTCTGACAAAAAAATTCCCCCTTAGTGCCACTTTGCCTTCTTATCCTTTGTCTAGCTCAGTGGTTTTCAACCTTCCTAATGCTGTGACCCTTTAATACAGTTCCGCAACCATAACATTATTTTTGTTGCTACTCCATAACTGTAATTTTACTACTGGAATGATTCATAATGTAAATATCTGAAATGCAGGAGATATTTTCATTTAGTGGACCAAATTTAGCACAAATACCCATTACGCCCAAATTTGAATACTGATGGGGTTGGGACAAAGGATTAGGGTTCAGATTGTTCTCTGATTGTAGGTGAACTATAAATCCCAGCGGCTATAGCTCTCAAATGTCAAGGACTATTTCCCCAAAACCTCACCAGTGTTCACATTTGGCCATATTGAGTATTCATGCCAAGTTTGAACTAGATCCATCATCATTTGAGTCCACAGTGCTCTCTGCATGTAGGTGAACTACAACTCCAAAACTCAAGATCAGTGCCCCCCAAACCCTTCCAGTATTTTCTGTTGGTCATGGGAGTTCTGTGTGCCAAGTCTGGTTCAGTTCCATTGCTGGTGGGGTTCAGAATGCTCTTTGATTGTAGGTAAGGTTTTATTTATTTCTCGTGTCAGGGCAGCCAGTCAATTATATTACATTTCTAACAGAACAAAGCAAACAAACAGACAAATACAAAATTTGTGAGTTTGGTAGTTGATTAAATGTCCTTTGACCAGTATCTGGCCACTTGGAGTGCTTCTGGTGTTGCTGCAAGAAGGTCCTCCATTGTGCATGTGGCAGGGCTCAGGTTGCATTGCAGCAGGTGGTCAGTGGTTTGCTCTCTCTCCACACTCGCATGTCGAAGATTCCACTTTGTGGCCCCATTTCTTGAGGTTGGCTCTGCATCTCGTGGTGCCAGAGCGCAGTCTGTTCAGCGCCTTCCAAGTCACCCAGTCCTCTGTGTGCCCAGGGGGGAGTCTCTCATTTGGTATCAGCCATTGGTTGAGGTTCTGGGTTTGAACTTGCCACTTTTGGACTCTCGCTTGCTGAGGTGTTCCAGCGAGTGTCTCTGTAGATCTTAGAAAACAATTTCTAGATTTAAGTTGTTGACGTGCTGGCTGATACCCAAACAAGGGATGAACTGGAGATGTCTCTGCCTTGGTCCTTTCACTATTGGCTGCTACTTCCCGGCGGATGTCAGGTGGTGCAATACCGGCTAAGCAGTGTAATTTCTCCAGTGGTATAGGGTGCAGACACCCCGTGATAATGCGGCATGTCTCATTAAGAGCCACATCCACTGTTTTAGTGTGGTGAGATGTGTTCCACACTGGGCATGCATACTCAGCAGCAGAGTAGCATAGTGCAAGGGGAACTGTCTTCACTGTATCTAGGTAAAGGTAAAGGTAGTCCCCTGACATTAAGTCCAGTCATGTCTGACTCTGGGTGTGGTGCTCATCTCCATTTCTAAGATGAAGAACCGGCGTTGTCCACAGACACCTCCAAGGTCATGTGGGCCAGCATGACTGCTTGGAGCACCATTACCTTCCTGCCGGAGCGATACCTATTGATCTACTCACATTTGCATGTTTTCGAACTGCTAGGTTGGCTGACAGCAGAAGCTCACACCGCTCCCCAGAACTGAACCTGTGACCTTTTGGTCAACAAGCTCAGCAGCTCAGCGCTTTAACCCACTGCGCCACTGGGGGCCTCCAACTTTGATTGTAGGCAAACTATAAATCCTGGCAACTACCACTCCCAAATGACAAAATCAATCCCTTCCCAATCCCACCAGTTATCAAATTTGGGTATTTGTGCCAAATTTAGTCCAGTGTATGAAAATATATCCTGCATGTCAGATATTTACATTACAATCCATAACAGTAGCAAAATGACAGTAGCAAATAAAGTAGCAAAGAAAATAATGTTATGGTTGTTGTTTTTTTGTTGTATCAGGAGTGACCTGAGAAACTACAAGTCTCTTCTGGCGTGAGAGAATTGGCCGTCTGGAAGGACATTGCCCAGGGGACGCCCGGATGATTTGATGTTTTATCATCCTTGTGGGAGGCTTCTCTCATGTCCCGCATGAGGAGCTGGAGCTGATAGAGGGAGCTCATCCACCTCTCCCCGGATTCGAACCTGCGACCTGTTGGTCTTCAGTCCTGCCGGCACAAGGGTTCAACCCACTGTGCCACCGAGGGCTCTAATGTTATAGTTGGGGGTCACCAGAACATGAGAGACTGCATTACGGGGTCACAGCATTAGGAGAGATCAGAAACAGTGCTTTACATACTGATAGATTCTTAGAGAGGTGTTCTCTTGGGGGTTTAAAATCATTTTTATTTGCAGTTTTCCCACTTTTATGGGAGCCCTTTGCACTTAAACCCCAAGAAAGTTGAGGTCCTACTGTATTTTCAGTTTTGAACAAAAGGGCTGCTGAAATGTTAAACTACTCATCCTTTTAGGTGACACAGAAATCAACCCCTATCATTTCCATGTTATTTCTGCCTTTGGTACCTCTACTTCAAGAACTGGGATATACCTGTATTGCTAAAAGTTTTTTGCAAAACCTGTTTCAATTTCCATTGGAATAGGGAGGAGCAAAAGCCATGAAGCAATGAGCCAAAATCCACATATTCTTCCCCAAATCTAAAGGTCCCTTTTTAGCTCCTGTAGTTCTATCAAGAGTATCCAGACACGTTTAACAATCCTCCCATTACAGTCTTACAGGTTATGAGCTCTAAATAAGTTCTTCACAATGCATTCCAAGATTTCCTGGGTGTCAAATCCTACTGACCTTTAGCATGCTCTGCATGTGCAAACCATTCCTGTTTCTACATCTAATGTGTAATGTTTGCTTGGAGTTTATTTGGATACCTGGGAAATGGATGCATAAACAAGAGAGAAAGATCCTGAGCAGGCATGCCTTATTTTGCGGCACTTCTGTGACCCCTGTTTATCTATTTCAGTCCAAAACACCTGAGGAATCCTTTGTGGTTTAAACTAAAGCACACCCTTGAGAAATATGAGGAGAGACTGTTTCTCTTTCCACACTGAAAGCAAGGCAATATAATGCAATTTTCCATTTGGTAGCCACCACTGCCACCCAGCGGAACAATGGGAGAAAACACCAAAAAATATAAGCTTTTAAAAAAAAATCATGTCAGAAGAAAAAATGAGAACATACTACATGTATTACCATCCTGCTGGGAGGCTTCTCTCATGTCCTCGCATGGGAAGCTAGGGTTGACAGATGGGAACTCACCCAACTCCCGGATTCAAGCCTTCAACCTTCAGGTCAACACTTCAGCCAACAAAAGGGTTTAACCCATTGTGTTGTGGAAGGCTTTCATGCCCAGAACCACTGGGTTGCTGTGAGTTTTCCGGGCTGTATGCCCATGTACCAGAAGCATTCTCTCCTGACGTTTTGCCCACATCTATGGCAAGCATCCTCAGAGATTGTGAGGTCTTTTGGAAACTAGGCAAGTGAGGCTTATATGGAATGTCCAGGGTGGCAGAAAGAACTCTTTCTCTGTTTGAGGCAAGTGTGATCACCTTGATTAGCATTGAATAGCCTTGCAGCTTCAAGGCCTGGCTGCTTACCGCCTGGGGGAATCCTTTGTTGGGAAGTGATTAGCTGGCCCTGATTGTTTCTTGTCTGGAATCCTGTTTTTGAGTGCTCTTCTTTCTTGGTTTTAGAGTTTTTTAATACTAGTAGCCAGATTTTGTACATTTTCATGGTTACCTCCTTTCTGTTGAAATCGTCTACATGCTTGTGGATTTCAATGGCTTCTCTGTGTAGTCTATCATGGTGGTTGTTAAGAGTGGTCCCACATTTCTGTGCTCTCAAATAATAGGCTGTGTCCAGGTTGGTTCATCAGGTGCTCTGCTATGGCTGACTTCTCAGGTTGAATTAATCTGCAGCGTCTTTCATGTTTGTGTTTGGGCAATGCTGCTGCATTTGGGGGGTCCCTATGTAGACTTGTCCATAGTTACATGGTACACAGTAGACTCCTGCAGAGGTGAGAGGATCCCTCTTGTCTTTTGTTGAATATAGCTTTTGTTGAATTTTCTTAGGAGTCTACCATATACTAAGAAATTGCAAACTGTTTGTAACAATACAGAATTGAAAGCAGTTAAACAATTTGACCAAAATGAACGCACATTAAATAAGGGAACAGGTTAAAATAGGGTTCAGGGCCCACTGTAAGTAACTCTTGCCCCTTTTCTTCAAGAGGCCCATGGGTCTCTTCCAACTCTGTAATTCCAGTCAACGTAGATAATGACACAACCAGGCTAAGAGAACCTAACAGTCTAATAAGGGAAGCACCCTATGTTGTAATCACAGTTTGATCTCAGTAGAGTTGTTGTTTTTTGCACATACCTTTCATTAAGAGGGTAGAGATGGATATCTGAACATACTTTCTAGGGAAAGCTTGCAACAAGAGGACTGGGTTTGACTTACCATACTCTCCAAAGACAAGAAGCGAGTAGTTCCGCATCTCCACAATCCAGGACACCACCTTCACACCAATCCAGATTACCAGCATTCCCAAAGTGGCATCCAAGAGGAAATTAATCAGGTAGCTATGGGAAAAAAGGATGAAAACTCACACTATAACAGCCTTGAATGCTGAGGCAGGTCCTTGGGCTCAAAGAAACCTTATGTTAAATCCTTCTTTGCTTCCTTCCACATTTATTCATTGCCTCTTGGCCCACCACAGTTCTCAACCCAACACACAATGTACAGAAACACTAAACATTGATTAAAACACTACAGATTTATCTTTAACATAGCTCTAAAACAGCGTTTCTCAACCTGGGGTCAGGACCCCTGGGGGGTCATGAGGGGGTGTCAGAAGGGTCATAAAAGACCACCAGAAAACAAAGTATTTTCTGTTGGTCATAGGTGTTCTGTGTGGGAAGTTTGGCCCAATTCTATCATTGGTGGGGTTCAGAATGTTCTTTGATTGAAGGTAAACTATAAATCCCAGCAACTACAACTCCCAAATGTCAAGGTCTCTTTACCCCAAACTCAAGGTCTCTTTACCCCAAACAAAAGTGTTCACATTTGGGCATATTGAATATTTGTGCCAAGTTTGGTCCAGATCCATCATTGTTTGAGTCCACAGTGCTCTCTGATGTAGGTGAACTACAACTCCAAAACTCAAGGTCAATGCCCACCAAACCCTTCCAGGATTTTCTGTTGGTCATGGGAGTTCTGTGTGCCAAGTTTGGTTCAATTCTATCATTGGTAGAGTTCAGAATGCTCTTTGATTGTAGTGAACTATAAATCTCAGGAACTACAACTCCCAAATGACAAAATCAATGTGCCCCCAACCCCACCAGTATTCAAATGTGGGCTATGAAGGATTTGTGCCAAATTTGGTCCAGTGAATGAAAATACATCCTGTGTATCAGATATTTACATTACAATTCATAATAGGAGCAAAATTACAGTTATGAAGTAGCAACAAAAATAATGTTATGGTTGGGAGTCACCACAGCATGAAGAACTGTATTAAGGAGTCGTGGCATCAGGAAGGTTTCTGAACCACTCCTCTAAAATAAGATGAACTGGTTTTCTAAATGCCAGGAGACCTTCAGACTCCTTCCCCTCCCACTTTTCCTCTAAGTCTTTTCACCCATTTTCATATTTCAGCTTGCAACAATATCACAACCAGATAAACTGGAGTGTAGAATGTGTAGCCAACAAATCACACATTGCACCCAGGGCCCTGCCTTGCCTTGTATTTGAATGTCCAAATAATAGTAACAAAACTAACACCTTCCTCTCACGTCCCGAGTGGGTTTGTAATCTCCAGTATCTTATTTGTTTCAGGAAAAGACCTTGGAAACATCAAAAGAAACATAGTTCCAGGTTTCAGAGCATTCTGGATTTTGGAATTCTTCAGAAAGGAGGCTCAGCCTATATGCAATTTAGGGTGATAATGATGCTGCATAAAGTAAAAGTAGAGGGTGAGGCTGCATTTTTAAACACCACCTGTATCAGCAAGAAGTCGATTTCCTCACCCAGAGAGCATGCTCACTTTATTATGAAGACAAAACCAAAGCACTTCTGGTTTTAAAATGGAGATGTGTACTGTTTAAGTATGAATGGGTCTTAACTGAAGTATTCACAAATGTATGTGTGTGTGTGTATACACACACATACACACACAATAGACTTGACACTTTTGAACTGTGGTGCTGGAGGAAAATTTTGAGTGTGCCTTGGACCACAAGAACATCCAACCAGTCCATACTTCAGGAAATAAAGCCCAACTGCTGATTGGAGGGAAGGATAGTAGAGGCAAAGATGAAGTACTTTGGCCACATCATGAGAAGAAAGGAAAGCTTGGAGAAGACAATGATGCTGGGGGAAATGGAAGGAAAAAGGAAGAGGGGCCGACCAAGGGCAAGATGGATGGATGGTATCCTTGAAGTGACTGGCTTGACTCTGAAGGAGCTGGGGGTGACGGCCAACAAGGAGTTCTGGCATGGGCTGGTCCATAAGGTCATGAAGAGTCAGAAGCGACTGAACTAATAAACAACAACAACACTAGTCTTGAGCTCGGATCCGTTTTTAGCTGCTCCATTTGGCCAATCCAGCTTCTTTGGTTTGTTCAAGTCCCCAAAATGGCAAGGGCCCAGTCCAAATGGATTCCCAGCCGAAATAGGACCATGTGGCAGCTGATCCTGGCTCCTCCTCCCCTATTTCATACTGGAAGCCATGGAGGTTCATGATGACTGGTAGGCACTATTATTTATTTTTTTATTTATTTACAGTATTTTTATCCCACTCTTTTCAGCCCGAAGGCGACTCAGGGCGGTGTACAGATTGGCAACAATTAGATGCTACAACATACATAAATATCAAATAAAAACATTTAATATCACACAATAAAATCCACATAAAACCAATGTGCAGATTTCATTTCCTCAGTTTCCGTCAGTACCTTCAGTACTTCAGGAGCTTATAGTGACAAGGGCCCGACCAGTACAAAAACCCGCCTAACACGAAAGCAAGTGGGAGCCGATCTCGGGTCCTCCTCCCCTATTTTGCATCACAGTTGAATTTTTTAAAGTTTCTATTATTTTCCTGATTCTTTTTATGTAATGGGACTGACTAGGAGTTGAGGAACTGAGGGAGGGTGGGTAGGGTGCCCACACATTTGGGGGCTTGGAGAATCACCCTTTTAACTTCTTTTTCTCTTTCCCCTCCTTTCCTTCAGAAAATACTTCTAAAAGATTAGTAGTAGTAGTAGCAGCAGCAAACCCTGCAAACAAAAAGAGAAGCCTACCTCTACTCTAGAGTAGAAAGTAGAAACAGCTTTAAAAAAGCAAAACCCCAAGAAGAAAGGAGATTGCAGGCAGCAGAGAAAACAGAGGGGATGTTTAAGGTAGTCCAGAGAGGATAGCTCCACTGAGCTCCAGGTCATCACTCTTCCTTTTCTGCCTCCTTAAAATGCCTTCGAAAGCTGTGGTCTGCTGCTGGTGCATTTATGCCTACCTCGCCTCTAGAGTAGAGACAGCTTTAAAGAAGCATTAAACCCAGTCTCCTCTACAAACAAAAGGGAAAAGATCCAGACAGAATGGTATCTTAACTCTGATGCTTTTTAAATCCAGGTCTTAATGAAGGATGGAAGGGGAGCCTGTGGGAAGTCGTCCCCCCCCCTCCCAAAATGGGCTGGATAGGGTGCTTCTTAACCCCGTTTCTGAAACCCAGGCTCCCTTGAAGGGAAGAAAGAAAAGGGTCACAGGAATGGAAAGGGGAGCCTCGTAAGTTCCCCTTACTGCCAATGGACCGAAAATAGTCGGTATTTGGATGCAGAACAAAAACTTCCATTTCAGCAGTGTGCCCTTTTTTGGGAGGTACGCAAAAATGGATATTTGGGGGGGGGGGGCTTCCAGTGTCAGGCAAGCATAAAGTGGTTCACCCAAAATGCACAAGCCTACTGTATACTTGAGAGAAAAGATGATTCTACCTTAATATTAGGAAAAACATCTGGATGATAAGAGCTGTTCAGCAGTGGAATATTCCTCCTCAGAATGTGTGCGAGTCTCCTTATCTGGAGGTTTTTAAGCAGAGGTAGAATGGCCATCTGTCAGGACTGCTTTGAGCTTTTCCTGGATGGCAGAATTGGGCTTGGCTGGATGGTCCTAGTAGTATCTTCCAACTCCATGATTTTATGATACATCATATCATAACTAGGAGCTGTACTTGAATACTAAATGTTAACACCATACAGCGTTATCATTCAGGAAGTATTATGTTCACCAGAGTTACAGTTTTACAAGGTCTTTCGCCTTCTCTTCTGGTGCCTCACCGAACTACAACTCCCAGGATTCCATAGCATCTAATAATGGAATAATGTCCCCAACATCTAATAATTCCCAATGAACAGCAAACTCACAGAGAGCATGGATCTTCTTCCGCAAGGTCAGACAGGAAGACGTTGGCAAAGTGGATGAACGCAGCTCCTATGGCTTGCTTTGAGGTATCATAAAACCTGGAAAGAGTCATGAAAAAGCATTAACTTAATCAAAAGAAGAAAAAACCTTGCTGGATCAAATAATTTTTTATTTACTATATTTATACTCTGCCCTTCTCACCCTGAAGGGGACTCAGAGAGGCTTACAAAGTGGCAACAATTCAATGCCGTATGAACAAACATGGAAAAACAATAAACATATACATTAAACTATAACACTTAAGAAAAAAAAAACACCTATGCATTAATTATTAAAACCACACAGATGTTTGCAATGTTTTGGTGTTTTGACTGTGCTGTGACACATCTCGAGCCACGAGGAGAGGCAGATAAGAAATAAAATTATTGTTGTTATTCTGTCTGATATCCCTTTGGCAGTGATTGACATGGATTGACAGACAGCTTGATTGATGCCTGGATCCAAGACCTGTGTGCTTGAATCAGCCATAACCAAGAAAGATGTAGCCTTCTTTCCCAATATAAACATATTTTGTGCTGGCGTTACGTAGGGCAAACTCACTCCTGGACACTAAGCAAGAGGGCACTTTGAGGATCAGATGAGATACCTCCATCTCCTACCCTGACCTTGCTGAGCTGCTGTTGATTCTGGTGAAGTTCCCGGCACTTGCAACGGGGGAAGACCTTCTGCACCAGCCTTTCACCATGAAGAAGTCAACAGTGTCCACATAGATGTGCCACCTCAGCTCATGCAAGTCCTCTCCCTCTGGGTGCAGGAAGAGGTGGAAATGGGCAGGCTTTCCAGCCCTTCCGAAGGGACGGTGTGCTGGTAAGGCTGTACCAGGAGCTCCAACTTCCTTTTCTTTCTTTGAGTGTTTGCATGTATTCCAAAGTTCCATGCATTTTGCAATAAGGTGGCTTCCCTTGGTTTGCAATTATAGGGCCAATGACCCATCAATTATCATTATGTTTTTTAGTTCCGCCCCTTTCCCCAGGGTTCAGGAAAGAAAGGGAGCCATTTTAGCTCAGTCTTACAGTTGAAAGCTTAGCTACAGGACGTGAATCAGCTCCACCTGTAGAGAAGCTTCGTTTCTTACGAAATTCCGGGGGAAAACAGTTCCAAAGGACTCCAGCTGGAGAATCTACAAAGCCTTGGCTGGTAGGTCTACTCGGGACCCAAGAAGCAGTTTGGAGCCGGGAGTAGGGCCCACACCAGCAAAGTTTAGAAAGTAGATTGCCCAAGGAGGGGTTAAAAGGGGTTTTCCTCTTAAAGAAAAGAAACAGTTCATGAAGCCAGTTGCCTGTCCCTCGTGGACAAGATTAAGAAAGCCACCAGTTGATTCAAAGCCTTGAAGTATTTCTTTGACCTGTTAAAGATCTGAGAAGTATTTGATTTATTGTTGAAGGCTTTCATGGCCAGAATCACTGGGTTGTTGTAGGTTTTTTCAGGCTATATGGCCATGGTCTAGAGGCATTCTCTCCTGACGTTTCGCCTGCATCTATGGCAAGCATCACTACTTCTGAGGATGCTTGCCATAGATGCAGGTGAAACGTCAGGAGAGAATGCCTCTAGACCAGTGGTTCTCAACCTGGGGTCCCCAGATGTTTTTGGCCTACAACTCCCAGAAATCCTAACAGCTGGTAAACTGGCTGGGATTTCTGGGAGTTGTAGGCCAAAACATCTGGGGACCCCAGGTTGAGAACCACTGCTCTAGACCATGGCCATATAGCCCGAAAAAACCTACAACAACCCAAGTATTTGATTGTTTTGTTGAAGACCTAAGCAATAATAAAGGACTTTGTTAAATTTTTCAAGCTTCTAAAGACTTTGTATAGGAAAATCCTTAGGGCCTCTCAGCTGAGGCACCCTGGCTTCCCGCTGGGCACAAAGAGCATATCCTGTTCAAAAGCCAATTGCTATAGGCCCAGCGTGTGACAGCACAGACGGGAAGGTCATAGGTAGACCTTAAGAAAATGTTAATGGTTTGGACAACCATCTTTCCCAAGTTCTGACAAAAGGCTTGTCTACCACACTGGAATCCAGAAACATGCCTCAAAATGCTGAAGAAATATGGTTGCTTTTTTTGTGGGACCTCTTGAGGCTATCTACAACTTCCAGAAAACCCCAACCAGCATGGTCAGTGAGTGATAAATCTTGGAAGCTGAAAGCCAAAAAAGTGAATATCCCCATATATTTAGGAAGCTATTCACATGAGAAACAGGCAGAGATGGTAATCACAAGCTGCAGTCTGAAGAGGCACACCCCAAAAAAGTCCAGTGTTCCCTATTAACTCAGAATTCTCATCCTGTATCCTGTGCAACTATAGTCTCAAAAATGAGTAATGCTTCATAGTCTGAAATCAAATACTAAAAATCACAAAGAGGTTTGTTTTCTTCATGATTTTGGTAAAAGGAAGAAGTACAAACATCTTACCATATTCTCCAGGGCCGTCTCTCTTCTTTAGGTTCCTTAAACCGTTTCACTGTAAAGAGATAATGAGAGAAGACCATTTTGGAAAGGCTACTGGAGAACCTCAACACATAATCAGCCTCCACATTTGTGGATCTGATTTGAGGATTTGGTTAGCCACAGATGCGATTAAAATATTGGAATCTCTAGATCCTCCAGGGCAATTGTGTGCTGGAAGGTGTTTGTAGAATTGTGCTGGAAGACCTAGAAATTCCTAATGGAAATATCTCTTTAGGAATCCTTATGGAGTACCTTGATTCCGAGAGAGAGATTTTCATTAGGAATTATATGAGCCAGCAAAATTTGGAGAAGGCAGATCTTCCTGGAAAAGTGTTCTCCCAGGTAGAAAAAGGAGCTAGAAGTGATTCCTAGAGAGATTATTCCTATGAGAACCAACACAGACTATTAACACTTTAACTGCCAAGGCTCAATGCTTTGGATTCATGGAAGTTGTAGATCAGTGAATCACCAGGATGCTTTAACCCATGGGTTCGCAAACTTTTTCAGCTGCGGAGCACTTTTTGAAGTAAAAGTTTCTTGTGGAGCCCCAAGAAATGTTAATATATTATACTAGCTGTACCCACCACGCTTTGCTGTGGCCAACCTTCCCTCTTTCTCTCCTTCGTTCCCTCCTTCCCTCCCCCTTTCTTTCCTCCCTCTTTCTCTCTTCCTTCCTTTCTCTCTTCCTTCCTTCCCCCTTTTTCTTTCTCTTTCTTTTCTTCCTTCTCTACTTCCTTCTTCCTTCCCTCTCTCTTCTTCTTCCTTCCTTTTTCCTCTTTCCTTCCTCTCCCTTTTTCTTTCCTTCTTCCTCCTTCCTCTCTCTTTCCTTCCCCCCCTTTTCTTTCCCTCCCTCTCTTTTTTCTTTCCTTTCCTTCCTTCCTTCTCTTTTTCCACTTTCTCTCCCTTCCTTCTTTCTTTCCTTCTCTTTCTTTCTTTCTTTTTCTCCCCTTCCCTCCTTCTTTCTTCCCTTTTTTCTGTATTGTCATTTAGCTTTTCGTCATTTAGCTTTTTGGGGCTTTTAAAGTCCCTTCTGCTGTGTTTTTCAGTGTTTTTATGAGTGAAGGACATACATTGGGTTGTTAGGTGTTGGGTGTCCAAATTTGGTGTCCATTCCCCCAGTGGTTTTTGAGTTCTGTTAATCCCACAAATGAACATTACATTTTTATTTATATAGATTATATATAATGTATGCATGTAGGGTATAGCAGACATGGGCCAGGCTGGTGGCAGGTAGATGGAAAGTGTTTGTGAACTAATTCACACAGTGCAAAAAAGGAAGGAAGGAAGGAAAGAAAGAATACAATATTTAAAATGAAGAACAGTTTTAACCAACATAAACTTAACAGTATTTCAGTGGAAGGCCATGGAGTCCTACCCCCTTCTGCTATGCATGAAAAACACAATCCAAGCATCCCCAATAGATGACCATCTAGCCTTTGTAATAATAATAATAATAATAATAATAATAATAATAATAATAATAATAAGTATTTATTTATTTATTTGCCATGCTTGTACCCTACCCTTCTCTACCCCGACAGGAAGACTCAAGGTGGCTTGCAATGGAACAAAGTCGTGCCTCAACACAATCACCTAAACATTTTGAAAATTGCAATATTAGATAGAGTTAAAACAGATATAAAAAGTTAAAAACTTAGAAAACACGCCATCCAAGTTTATGGTCTGAGTCCATTCCAAGCTCAATTGCACAAGGTTTTGATTCAAAAATACTGCATTGCTTCAGTTTCCAAAAGCCTGCTCACAGAGGCAGGTTTGGACTCTTTTCCTAAAGGCCAGTAGGGAGGGAGTTGATAGCGAGGGAGTTCCACAACCGGAGGGAAGAGTTAATGTATTGTCAAAGGCTTTCATGGCCGGAATCATTGGGTTGTTGTAGTTTTTTCGGGCTATATGGCCATGTCTAGAGGCATTCTCTCCTGACGTTTGCCTGCATCTATGGCAAGCATCCTCAGAGGTAGTGGAGGATGCTTGCCATAGATACAGGTGAAATGTCAGGAGAGAATGCCTCTAGAACATGGCCATATAGCCCAAAAAAACCTAGAACAGCCCAGAAAATACTATGCTTTCTGATAGTCTTTGGCGACCTCACTGACACCCCCTCGAAACCTCCCCCCCAGGGGTCGTGACCCCCAGGTTGAGAAACACTGGTGTAGATGAACCCTAAGATGTTGCTTTTACAGCCTACTACTTTTTGGGTTACCCCACTGAAACAGATGCCCTGGCTGCTCTAAACTCCCATAATTCTGTCTGAAGCTCACCAATGCAAGAGCCATCTCCAAATCATTGCCCTGTTAAGTAGTTAATTATTTTTTTTCTAATGTGCTCTCTTTTATCTTTTAATACAGCCGCTTTAGTGCTTGTGATAATTACACTGCCTCTGATAACTCTCTTAAATCTAATGAGGCGTGACGAGACCTGCTCAACATGGCATCACATCATTAACTCGCTTCCTTTAGAAGTTGTCATCTTATCACACTCCGCAACTGTGTTTTTGAGCTTTGGCAGCTCTGGTTCCACAAAGTGTCACTTCCCATTACAGCAAAGATTTAAGGAGAAAAAAATATATCCTCAGATCTTCTGCCAAGCTAAGAATGAAGTGCCCCCCCCCCAAAAAAAAAATTCAATTCAATCTCTCTCATAAAAATTAGTGGTTCCCATTGAATTCTATGGAAGACTGTGCAAGGAGTTTCTATCAAAGGCACACCTTGCTGCTGTGATAACGGTTTTCCAGGATGCATCTACACTATAGAATAATTGCAGTTTGACATCACTTTAATGGCTCAGTTCAAATGAATGCTGAAGTCTCTGGAAACAAAGATAACAAAATGGAGACTGTCATATTTCCAGAAGGGGGGATGCCTGGCTCGACAGCAGTATGTATGAAAAAGATATTGGAGTCCTCATGGAGAGCAAGTTAAACATGAGCCAACAATGTCATGCGGCAGCAAAAAAAGCCAAAGGGACCTCACAACCTCTGAGGATGCCGACACAGATGCAGGCAAAACATCAGGAGAGAATGCTTCTAGAACATGGCCATAGTTTGGTAAAGGTAAAGGTAGTCCCCTGACATTAAGTCCAGTCATGTCTGACTCTGGGGTGTGGTGCTCATCTCCATTTCTAAGCCGAAGAGCAGCGTTGTCCGTAGACACCTCCAAGGTCATGTGGCCGGCATGACTGCATGGAGCGCCGTTACCTTCCCGCCGGAGCAGTACCTATTGATCTACTCACATTTGCATGTTTTCGAACTGCTAGGTTGGCAGAAGCTAGGGCTGATAGCGGAAGCTCACGCCGCTCCCTGGAATCGAACCTGCGACCTTTTGGTCAACAAGCTCAGCAGCTCAGTGCTTTAACCCACTGCGCCACCGGGGGCTCCATAAACAGCTTGTACATGTGGCACCTAAAAAAGCCAATGGGGTTTTGGCCTGCATCAATAGGAAGTCTAGTGAGATCCAGGGAAGTCATGCTCCCCATGCCCTACATCTTTTTAACTACAATTCCTAAAATTTATTCTAATTCTGGTCAATTAAAGGGAGATGTTGACAAGCTGGAATGTTTTCAGAGGAGAGCGATTAAAATGATCAAGGGTCTGGAGAACAAGCCCTATCAGGATCGTCTTAAAGAGCTGGGCATGTTTAGCCTGCAGAAGAGAAGGCTGAGAGAAGACATGATGATAGCCATGTATAAATATGTGAGGGGAAGTCATAGGGGAGGGAGGGAAAGCTTGTTTTCTGCTGCCCTGGAGACTAGGCAATGGAACAATGGCTTCAAACTACAGGAAAGAAGATCCACCAGCAGGAGACAGGACTCTGCTCTGTTTCTCACCCAGCAAGCCAGAAGAAGCCATGATTTGTTCCTGGATTGTTTCTCTGGCTTATTGAGTGCAATTGTTCTCTGGCTTTGAATGCGATTTTCCTGCTTCTTGGCAGGGGGTTGGACTGGATGGCCCATGAGGTCTCTTCCAACTCTATATTCTATGATTCTATGATTATGACATAAAGCAATCCATGGAATCGCAAAGTTAGAAGAAACCAGACGTGCCATCCAGCCCAGCCCATTCTGTCATGTAATCAAAGCTACCAGGTGAACTTGGGAAGGTCACACTCTCTCATCCTCAGAGTGACAAACCTCTTCTGAACAAATCTTGCCAGGGAAACCATGGGGCTGGGCCTCCTTTGTGTCGCCATGGGTTAGAAACAACTTGGCAACACAGAATAACAAATACCAGTGGGAAGATGCTCCAAGGAAGAGAAGGTAATTATAGGCCTGGGTAACAACGGAAAAATTTGTTTCTAAAATCAATTCGTTTGTTGGGGGTTTTTTTCGTTATTTAAAATAATTACAAATTTTTCCTTTTAAAAAGTTCAATATTTACGAAATTTCGTAAATGGTAAAAAATTAACGAATCGATTTCCGAAACAATAACGAATCGATTCGTTAATGGCGGACGCGACCGCGAAATACGCTAAAAAACCTCCAAAACCTTCTGAAGCTTCCCTCTCCCTCTGTTGTTGACTGTTGGTGTGATATTATAATTTTTTTTCACTAATTAAACTGGCCCAGACATGCGGAAATAATAACGAAACGACCTCAAAACAATAACGAAACAAATACAATATCGAAATACGAAGCATTTACAAAACGTTTTTGAAAATTCGTTTTTTTAAATAATTGCTCCAAAATGGGTACCTTGGGAAGTCTGACTTAGCTACGGTAGTCCACGCTCTGGTTACATCCCGCCTTGATTACTGCAACGCTCTCTACGTGGGGTTGCCTTTGAAGACAGTCCGGAAGCTCCAGTTAGTCCAACGGGCGGCAGCCATGATTCTAACAGGAGCGGGGCGCAGGGAGCATACAACTCCCTTGCTGAACCAGCTCCACTGGCTGCCGATATGCTACCGGGCTCAATTCAAAGTGCTGGCGTTGGCCTTTAAAGCCCTAAACGGTTCTGGCCCAACTTATCTATCCGAACGTATCTCAGCCTATCAGCCCACCAGG